AAACCGGGAAGGGGAAACTGCGCCGGCGCACTGTCTCAGCACCGCGGGACGGAGGGGAGGGGAAGCAGAGGCCGTTTCCGGTGGGTGAGCGGAGCTAGGTGCGCCTGCGCTCAGGGCGCCCGCTTCTTTTTAGGACACCGCCCACAGGCCCCAGACATCCGGTTAGGACACACCCTGGGTTCAGGTCTCACGCTTGAGTTCCGCCCCCTGGCCTGAGGCCCGCCCACTTTCCGAGCGTGTTCTTATAGGCCCCGGCCTTTACGCGGTACCTCCACCAGATTCGTCCCGTTCTTCCCTCTCTCCAAGGCCCTACTTTTGGAATTCCATCCTCCCACTTAAGCCACGCCCCCAACCACGCCCCTTTCCCCAGTCCTGCCTCCCCACACTACCTAAAACCCTGTCCCATAGCATTTAAGCGGCACTACTCTCATAATCTTAAGAATTTGTTTGAGGCAAGGTCTCCCACTAGCTCAGGCTGGCCAGGAACTCTCTATCAAGGCCAAGCTGGCCTCGAACTTGAAGCAATCTACCGGCCTGAGCTTTTGGAAGTGCTGGGATTAGAGAGATGAGCCACCATGCCTAGTTTCTCTCTCATAGCTTGTATGCTTGTAGTTCTGTCTTGCACCTTGAAAGTATTCCTTTAAGGCAGCCAGTGGCATCAATCAACATGCAGCTCCCAGCCCCAGACCTACTGAATAGAAAGCTTTGGGGTGGGGCCTGGGAGCCATCTGCTTTGAAATACCATCCAGATAATCAGGTGCATGCTGAAGTTGAGAACTTTAGTTTTACCACACTTTACCCTTCTCAGAACTCTATAAAACTTTCTCTTAACTCAGCCCCACTACAAACAACAAAGCCCAGTCCTATTCAGCCCACCTGCCAAGCTCTCTCCCTTCTCATACCTTTTCCCTTTCCAGGGCCTGATTGGCAGTGGTGTCCACCTCTCAACATCCTCTTAACAGTTAAGTCCCGATACTCTTGCTTTGGGAAGTCCTTCCAAGCAATGCATCTTTGAGAAACCCATACCCATGCTCTTGGGCATGTCTTTCTCCTGACTTTTGTGCTTAAGCCTAAATTAAAATATCTCGCCAGATGTGGTAACACAGGTCTTTAATCTCAGTACTCAGGAGGCAGAGGCAGGTGGATCAAAGCCAGTAGTAAGTTCCAGGCCAGCTGGAACTATAGGGAAACCCTGCCTCAAAAAGAAATAGAAAAAAAAAAAAAAAAAAAAAAAAAAAAAAAAAAAAAAACAGCCCCCGCGCCAAAACAGGGAGTAAGTTCCAGGCCAGCTGGAACTATAGGGAAACCCTGCCTAAAAAAAAAATAGAAAAAAAAAAAAAAAAAGTAAACTTTAATAAGATACTCAACTCGAGTGCTTCCTTTAAGCCTCACCTTCAGTTAAATGTCATCCATTCTCTCTAAATTGAGTTCTACCACACAAGCCTAAACCTCTTTGATTTTCAGACCAATCTTTTTGTGTTTTGGAATAGGATCTCACTATGTAGCACATGCTGGCCAGAAACACACAGAACTATGCCTGCCCCTGTTTCTGGAGCACTGGAACTAAAGGTGTGTACCACCACACCCCACCTCGAAATTGTCAATTCTGTTCATCACCATCCTCACACCTCAGCTGGGCTCTGAACCCAGACCTTGCACGTTCAAGGTACATTACCAAGTTACATTCCCAACCCTCAACTTAGTTTTATCCTTCCAAATAGGAAGTCAAGACAAGAACACAGGGTAAAAAGTGTCCTGTGTGGAATTTCTAGGAATGTAGCCTGAATGGAAAGAGTGGACCTAGAGTTACATTTGTATAGAAGATTCAGGTCCTGAAATGGGATTCTCTTCAATATAAGTAAAGAACTCTAGAAGGGAGGGGCACAATATGGAACACACACAGGAAGTCAGTAGGCAGGGATTTATTTCCACAGCCCCTGCTTCCCAGGGCTTGTTAGTCTGCAGGAAGGTGCCAGAAGGCCTCAGGACCTGGAAGTTCAGGTCCCTGCTTTCGACCCCCTCCCACGACAGGAAGACCACCAGAATCAAGGGTGTGTTGGCCTCCTGGCCTGGGCACAGCACCAGCTGAATTCGCTGCTGTAAACCCAGACAGAGGAGCAGTGACAGGGAATACAGGTCAAGCGGGCTCCCTTTCTTCAGGCTCCTCCTCATGCGCCTCTGCTGGGGCAGGGGCACCCTCATCCTCATCCTCGTCCCATAGTGGTTCGGGTCGTGGGTTTGGGGGACACACTCGTACAGGCATCCCCACGAGCTCGGGGTGCTTCCGCTTGTAATGACGCCGAAGAGTATTGGCCTCGGTGAAACGCACCCGGCAGGAGGGGCATTGGTATGGGCGCTCGCCAGAATGGATGCGGTGGTGGTGTGCCAACTCCCCGGCCTCTCGGAAGCGCCGAGGGCAGAGCACACAACGGAAGGGCCGCAGGCCAGCATGGATGTTACAATGACGTCGCAAGTGGCTGGACCGCTTGAAGGTTTTGCCGCAATCCTGGCACTGGTGTGGTTTCAACTCTGAGTGCGAGATGCTGTGGCGCTCCAGGTCAGAGAGGTAGGGGAAGGCTCTCAAACATACTGGGCAGAAATGTGGGGCCCTCTTGGGACCCTCTGAGCCCTGGGGCCCATCTGCTGCTGACCCTTCAGGGACTGTATAGGGCACACCCTGATCATCGATCAACAGGAGGTCGCTGCTGGCACCGCTGTCCACCGGCGCTGTCAGCGGGGACTCCTGCACTGACTTGGGGGGGCGGCCCCTCTTTCGAGGGAGGGAGGACTTGAGCGTCCGACTGGAGGTGGCTACCCCTGGTGGTCGGCCTCGGCGGCCCTGGGGAGCAGGAGGAAGAAAGGACAGAGGTGTCTCTTCTTCCCCAGGCAAAGTTGAAGGCAACGGGTCTGGGTTGGGGTTGTCCATTGAGCAGTGGGGAGCTTGAGTCTGGGTACTGGAGCCGGCTAAGAGAGGAGAGGGGGTGGCGTTAGCGTAGTGAGGGTCTGATCACCCGTGTCCCCCAACATCTCATCCATCCCTGTAAGTCTACTGAGTTGGGTAGAACAGATACTGTACTAATTGATAAGAGGTACTGACTGCCCAGCTCCCTGTAGTGTTTCCCAGGATTCTCCAACCCTTCCTAGGCAAAATCTGATGCTGATTGTGAAGAAAGACATATATCTAAGGTGCAAAGCCCATATATCTGGGCTTTGTCAGATATGCAGTTCAAATGCTGAAACTATCCATTTCTTTCTGTGTGATTTTGGGCAAGATGCTTACTTGTAACTCTGAGCTCGGTTAAGTGATCTGCAAGACGGAATTTCGTTTTTTATCTACTCACCCTGCACACAAATGTGCTCAGGGACATCTATGGTCATGAGCAGCTACCTCACGCCAACCCTTTTGAACGAGGGCACACCCTTTCCATTTTCCAAATAGGGAAACCAAGGCAGAGGAAAGTCAAGTCAGTTGCTCAAGTTCCCTTAGCTGGTAAACAGCAGGAACAAGACTCCAAATGGGTCTTATGGACCTCGGTGGCCCAAAGAACAAGATGAACTGGGCCTACGAAGGATGGGGGTCGGGGAACTCTGGAGGTCTCCCAGGGCAGGTTTTGAATTCAGTTCCGCCAATTATTAGCAAGTGATTCTGCAAGTGGCTTTGCCTCTGAGTCAGTTTCCTCCTCTGTAAAAATGGATAGACCTAGACTGTGTGGAGACTCGACTCAACTGGCATTAGGAAACTTTTAAAATGTCCTTAGAACACAGAAAGCACTCGATAAACTAGCACCGCCACTAGACCCTGGACTCGTGGGAATGGCGTGCACTGGTGCAGCTCGTGGCCGATGCTGAAGGTGGATCCTGCTCTCCTCTTTAGACAGTTTTTCTGGTTTGTTTGGGGTTTTACAGTTTTCTTCGTGTATGGTGCTGGGGATCAAACTCTGGGCCTCGAGCATACTAGGCAAGAGCTCTACCCCCAACCTTGCATCCCCTTTTAACAGGCTCACAGCAAGGGGTCCAGACAGTGACAACCTTTCCAGGATCCTATGGCTCGCAACACGGGGTAGTCTGGACCAGAAGCTGGCTCTCTGGAGCACACCGAGGAAGTGGGAAAGTGATCCCTCGACCCTCCCCCACCCCAACTCCCTTCCGACGCGTGCCCGTCAGCCCCGAGTGGCCGAGCCCGCATGCGGGGCGGGCCCTAAGGGTGCGACGGCCAATGAGCGGCGCGGGGACAGCGGGCGGCAAGGGCTGCCAGGAGGGGGTCTGCGCGCGCGAGCCCGGCCCGCTCTGCGGGGCGCGAGGTCGGCGCGCGCAGGAGCGAGCGCGGAAGCCGGGAACAGGTGCTGGGGGCGCGCTCGGGGACGCGCATCCCCGGGGTCCCTCTCCCCATCCCCCCGCCAGGGCCCCCCACCTCTGGGTACCTCATTTGCATGCCGCCTGGGCTCGCGTGTGTACGCGCGCGCGCGCCGGGGGCCACGGGCCGGAGCGTGGGAAGGGGCGGGGGAGAGGGGTCGGTGCCGGCGGGGCGGGGGC